CACACACACACACACACACACACACACACAGACAGTCACACACACACACACACACACACACACAGTCAGTCTCACACACACACACACACACACACAGTCAGTCACACAGTCAGTCACACACACACACACACACACACACACATCAAAACAGGAATCTAATGTAAAATCTGCAGTGGCTTCCAGAACAGTAACATACCGTTTATCCTGACATCTTTTTCATATGAGATCAGTCTGTGTGTGATCTCATCTGGCAGAAAGCAAACACATGCTCTCGCGTAATCAGCTCTCGAGAGTCTCTGACTAGGGTTGGGTATCGTTTGCATTTTATCAATTCCAATTCTGCTTATCAATTCCGATTCTTATCAATTCCAATGAGATTAAAAAAATGTGATTAAAACATTTTTATTCGGTCTCTTTTTGCAAAACATTTAATTGCGGCTGAATACCATGAACAAAAATCAGCCAGCTACATAAAAACTGGAGTCGATTAAGAGCTGTTAAGAGCACAATAGAGCTGCACGATTCTGGATAAATTGAGACTTTTTATTTATGTATTTATTTATTTTTAAATGGAGAAAAAACATTAGACAAGCAAACAAATTCTCATGGAATTTATGAACGGAATGATTCAATGACTCACTCAAGATTGACTTGTTTCATTACTGGATGAATCAGTGTTTCTGAATGAATCTCTTGAACGAATGATTCAAAGACAAATAAATTTTTAACAGCCCCTTTTCACCACCTAAAAATAAAAGATGTGCACACAGGAATCGATAGGCGGAATCATGTATCCGATTCTGGAATTGGAATTGATTTTCGATTCCCAACCCGATCTCTGACATAATAAACATCACACTGTATTAGAGCTGAAACGAGCAACGATCTGCTGATTATTATTAACTGGATATTCTACATCAGACCCAATGCTCACCTTTAAAAAAATGTGCTAACTAAATAAATGCTATAACAATATAAAGCGTCAAAAAAAAAATCAGCAGATCAGTATAAATGTGCAAACTACTGTACTGTAATCTGGTTTTAAACAGGTGAGACTTAACAATATATTCTCTGAAAACAAGTCGATATCTTATGCAACATCTTTAGCTTCAAGAGCAAATCTCGTTTTAAGGCTGGATAGAAGGCAAAAACGAATTATGCTGAAGAAAGGGATTTTTTAAATCCTTTTGAAACCTGATAAAGTACGTTTCACTGTTTGAAAATGTAAAGAAAAAAATCCTGTTTTCTCCACTTCATCAACACTGAGCAAATGCTGTTTTGAGATTTGTGTACAGGTACCACAACTAGTGTTCACAAAGGTAAATGTTCACAGCTTTACTCGTGTAACACTATGTAGCAAAGTCTTTTCATGCTGCAACCAGAAAATAATGACGTTTCATTTTAGGGGCTGTTAACATTTTATCATGCCACAGTGAGCTCATTTTTCAGTCTTTCCCACACATCCCTGCTCCATAAAACTGGCCAGAGGAATCTGAGCACAAAAGATGAAGAGTAAAAGTAAGTAGACTGACGTAGTCTTCATCGTCCTCCTCGGCGATCTCCATCGAGCTGTCCATGTCTTCAGTGAGTCTCTTCCTCCCGAGCGCCTCTCCGTTTGTTCTGCAGCCTTCTCTCTTCAGCTCTCTGCACCATAACAAGATATTATACTCGTATTTACATGCTTTGACAATGAGATTCTGTTACAACACCAGCCTGATATAGAAATGCTATTCTAAAGATCCTTTATAACATATGTTTATGTATAGAGCAACTATAGTTTGAAGAACAATATATCAAATGTGTCCCTGGAGCACAAAAGCAGTGTTAAGTCGCTGGGGTATTAAGTAAAGATCATGTTCCATGAAGATATTTTGTAAATATCCTACCATAAATATATCAAAACTTAATGTTTGATTAGTAATATGCATTGCTAAGAACTTCATTTGAACAACTTTAAAGATGATTTTCTCAATATTTAGATTTTTTTGCACCCTAGTCTCACACACACACACACACACACACAGTCAGTCACACAGTCAGTCACACACACACACACACACACACACACATCAAAACAGGAATCTAATGTAAAATCTGCAGTGGCTTCCAGAACAGTAACATACCGTTTATCCTGACATCTTTTTCATATGAGATCAGTCTGTGTGTGATCTCATCTGGCAGAAAGCAAACACATGCTCTCGCGTAATCAGCTCTCGAGAGTCTCTGACTAGGGTTGGGTATCGTTTGCATTTTATCAATTCCAATTCTGCTTATCAATTCCGATTCTTATCAATTCCAATGAGATTAAAAAAATGTGATTAAAACATTTTTATTCGGTCTCTTTTTGCAAAACATTTAATTGCGGCTGAATACCATGAACAAAAATCAGCCAGCTACATAAAAACTGGAGTCGATTAAGAGCTGTTAAGAGCACAATAGAGCTGCACGATTCTGGATAAATTGAGACTTTTTATTTATGTATTTATTTATTTTTAAATGGAGAAAAAACATTAGACAAGCAAACAAATTCTCATGGAATTTATGAACGGAATGATTCAATGACTCACTCAAGATTGACTTGTTTCATTACTGGATGAATCAGTGTTTCTGAATGAATCTCTTGAACGAATGATTCAAAGACAAATAAATTTTTAACAGCCCCTTTTCACCACCTAAAAATAAAAGATGTGCACACAGGAATCGATAGGCGGAATCATGTATCCGATTCTGGAATTGGAATTGATTTTCGATTCCCAACCCGATCTCTGACATAATAAACATCACACTGTATTAGAGCTGAAACGAGCAACGATCTGCTGATTATTATTAACTGGATATTCTACATCAGACCCAATGCTCACCTTTAAAAAAATGTGCTAACTAAATAAATGCTATAACAATATAAAGGCGTCAAAAAAAAAATCAGCAGATCAGTATAAATGTGCAAACTACTGTACTGTAATCTGGTTTTAAACAGGTGAGACTTAACAATATATTCTCTGAAAACAAGTCGATATCTTATGCAACATCTTTAGCTTCAAGAGCAAATCTCGTTTTAAGGCTGGATAGAAGGCAAAAACGAATTATGCTGAAGAAAGGGATTTTTTAAATCCTTTTGAAACCTGATAAAGTACGTTTCACTGTTTGAAAATGTAAAGAAAAAAATCCTGTTTTCTCCACTTCATCAACACTGAGCAAATGCTGTTTTGAGATTTGTGTACAGGTACCACAACTAGTGTTCACAAAGGTAAATGTTCACAGCTTTACTCGTGTAACACTATGTAGCAAAGTATTTTCATGCTGCAACCAGAAAATAATGACGTTTCATTTTAGGGGCTGTTAACATTTTATCATGCCACAGTGAGCTCATTTTTCAGTCTTTCCCACACATCCCTGCTCCATAAAACTGGCCAGAGGAATCTGAGCACAAAAGATGAAGAGTAAAAGTAAGTAGACTGACGTAGTCTTCATCGTCCTCCTCGGCGATCTCCATCGAGCTGTCCATGTCTTCAGTGAGTCTCTTCCTCCCGAGCGCCTCTCCGTTTGTTCTGCAGCCTTCTCTCTTCAGCTCTCTGCACCATAACAAGATATTATACTCGTATTTACATGCTTTGACAATGAGATTCTGTTACAACACCAGCCTGATATAGAAATGCTATTCTAAAGATCCTTTATAACATATGTTTATGTATAGAGCAACTATAGTTTGAAGAACAATATATCAAATGTGTCCCTGGAGCACAAAAGCAGTGTTAAGTCGCTGGGGTATTAAGTAAAGATCATGTTCCATGAAGATATTTTGTAAATATCCTACCATAAATATATCAAAACTTAATGTTTGATTAGTAATATGCATTGCTAAGAACTTCATTTGAACAACTTTAAAGATGATTTTCTCAATATTTAGATTTTTTTGCACCCTCAGATTCCAGATTTTCTAATAGTTGTATCTCAGCCAAATATTGTCCTCTCCTAACAAACCATACATCAATGGAGAGCGTATTTATTCAGCTTTCAGATGATGCATTTCAGATGTGTGTTCGGATTGTTTGCCAGCAACTGCATCGCCAGCCTCACCACAATTGTGATTCATATCTGGGTTTAGTCATTTTTGTGTTAGTAAATAATAATTTTGTTAAATACATTTCCTGTATAATATAAATCTGTGAAAGCTATTAATTCATAAACACACTTTTGCTAGTAAACATCATATAATGTGCGAAACATGATTTGTACATCATTTTCAATCCATTCTTAATGATGAAGCCATTTTAGACTTGATTTGCAACTAAAATTCAACCAAGACTCTAAAAATGCAAAAATGCTGGATCTTATCATGAAATGTTGATGACTAGTGGTAGAGGCTTTATGTTGGTTGCGCACCTGTGTAACACTTAGGTGCACACCTGGTTATAAGACAGAAAGGAGCATTATGACTGGTCTGGGTATATATCCAGATGTGGTGCACTTTCAGCATTTTAACACACTGTGTAGTGTAGTTGTGTGCCGTGCAAACATTCATTTTGTGCTTTACCTGATTTGAAGGAATTTCCCTCAATTCATTCAGGAGATTTGCCACTAAAATAGCACAGACAGCACATACAAATAAACCCCAACATCACCTCCTGAATTCAAGAATTATTCATTAAAATGTTAGCTTATTTTTTTTTATCTTAATAATAATAGTTGGCTAATGAAGCTGAGCAGCAGTCTATATTCATGACATAACAGTGTGTTACGTACATTTGGTGCAAATCACACCCTGAAAACTTATTAAGCTAACTGACTACATCAATTCTTGAATAAACTGACTGTATGATCAGAGAGATTGTCTGAAACCACATCTATGTTTAGGAACATGGCTAATGAAGCTGAGCAGCAGTCTATATTCATGACATAACAGTGTGTTACGTACATTTGGTGCAAATCACACCCTGAAAACTTAAGCTAACTGACTACATCAATTCTTGAATAAACTGACTGTATGATCAGAGAGATTGTCTGAAACCACATCTATGTTTAGGAACCGACCGGTCGTCAGCAAGACCAACAAATACATTCATCCCATAAAGCACACACCTGCTCCATGCTAAGCTTCAGTATAGACCAATTTGGAGTAGACGTCACAGTTACGTCACTTGCAGCTGCGCACGCATAGAAATAAAACACTGGGAACGAGTGGAGGGAAACGGGTCAAATCAATGGAATAAGAGAAAAAATGTATTGCTGTGCCTTTGGATGTCAGAATCTGAATGCAAATAATTTTTATATAACACTGTCGTCAAAGACGCCATTTGAAGCTAAACGCAGACGTTTAAACGGACAGACTATGGATGAAACCTGCTATGTATACCCTACTTTTAAAGCATAAATTTGATTTAAACAATAGGTCTATATAATATTCATATAGGGGACATATTGTATTAGCCCTACAGTTGAAATACATGCATGAAATACTATTTAAACCTATAACAATAGACCAATTTGGAGTAGACGTCACAGTTACGTCACTTGCAGCTGCGCACGCATAGAAATAAAACACTGGGAACGAGTGGAGGGAAACGGGTCAAATCAATGGAATAAGAGAAAAAATGTATTGCTGTGCCTTTGGATGTCAGAATCTGAATGCAAATAATTTTTATATAACACTGTCGTCAAAGACGCCATTTGAAGCTAAACGCAGACGTTTAAACGGACAGACTATGGATGAAACCTGCTATGTATACCCTACTTTTAAAGCATAAATTTGATTTAAACAATAGGTCTATATAATATTCATATAGGGGACATATTGTATTAGCCCTACAGTTGAAATACATGCATGAAATACTATTTAAACCTATAACATTTTACATAACATTTACCTATTTTATCTCACAATTCTGACTTTTTTTCTTGCTAATGCAAGTTGATATCTCCAAGTTCGGACTTTATAACTTTATTCAAGTCAACAATTGCGAGTTTGTCAATTCTGAGGGGAAAAAAAGCCAGAAGTGTGGGATTATAAACTGAAAAGAAAGAAGGACGAGTTGATTTTTCTTACCAGAATTGTGAGATATAATCTCGGAATTGCAAGAAACAAGTCCGAATTTTGAAATATAAACTCAGAATTACATGTGTTATTCTTTTATCCCATGGCTTGAATAGACTGCTACGTTAAAACTCATTTAAAATGTTGCCAATTTTATGCATGGTTTCAATGCCATTCACTGGGTGATTTGAGCTTTCAATCAAATCCACAGGAAGCTTCTTCATTATTATCATTTGCCACACCAGTGACTTTATTACAGCCAGATAACAATGAATCAACTCAGCTTAATTTCTATAGCACTTAATACAATACAAATTGTTTCAAAGCAGCTTCACGGTGATCAACTGAAACGTAATAGAATCCAATATAGCTGCAAGCAGCGATTAAGGGACCGAGCACAACAGAGGCAGAATGAGGAGAAAGCATGCTTTTACTCAAACTGGCTCAAAGATCATACCCACAGCAGGAAAGAAAAATCAAAAGTGAGATCTCTTTAACATCTCAAATGTTTCTCCTAGACAAAAATGAGGTCTGAGACACTGTTGAGACTGAAATGAGAAATACATGAGAACCACCACTACATCTCCTGAGGTTAGAAAGAGCAACCACTGAGCAATACAATATTCCTGTAATGGAGTCTTGCTAGAGATTGCAGCAAGACAATAAAGAGATATTCTATGTTTCTTCCACCACATTCTCTGTTTTTCTCAAATATTTCTCATGTCTCATTTGTTTCTACTTCTAGTTCTCTGTTTCTGCAGGCTTTATGAAAGCACAGACTTTTTAGAGACTTTTTTTAAAACCAAAAAAAAAAAGGATGTAAAAATGTAACAAAAGGAAGAAAACATGTCAGAATGTTCTTCTCTAAATGTAAATGTCTGAGGAGAAACACAATGAGTTTTAGCAACACTTCTAAAAACACAACTTCCAACACATCACCATTACCTTTTAGATCATGTTACAAAAAATAGCTCAAGGCAAATACTAGAAAATGGAAATAACTTTTACTGCCCCTAATAACTTTTAATGTCTCTTCAGTGCAAATCACACTGCAAAAAAGTGATGCTGTTCCCCGGTATTTCTGTCTGGTTTTCCAGCGTAAAAAGATTCTTAAATCAATATACGTTTACTTGAGAAGCAAAATGACAGAAGTCTTGTTTTATGAGAAACTGACCAAAATAAAAAGGGTTTATGATTAAAAAAGAACAAATATCTGCCAGTGGGCTCAGAAAAATCAACTTCATTCAAAGGGAAAACAAGTTTTCATTCTCCACTGACAGATATTTGTTCTTGTTTTAGGCATAAATTCACTTAATTTTGTTCAATTTCTCAGAAAACAAGACTTCATATCTTCATTTTAAGTAAATGTATCTTGAATTAAGGATGTTTAGATATTTGTATGGGAAAACAAAACAAAGACTGAAAAAGATATACATTTTTAGCAATGCATGCAATGCATTTATTGTTTTTACATTTAAGACTTTCTGCTCCGATTTAAGACCTTTTTAAGGGCCTTCATTTGTGAAAGGGCAACTTGAGACTTTTTAAGACCCTCAGAAACCCTGAACTGAAACCTGCACACACTGTGAGAGGGACGGCGAATACGAAACGCTATCATGGAGGTCACACACGCCACGTTTATACATTTGAACACCAGCCTCAGTCTCCTTCGGAAGCAAGTCAAATAATAATAGCAAGCTAAAAGGAAGAGTATAATACAAGCTTTTGCATTAAATAATCTTTGACAGAGCAGCATTAATATCACTAGCGTCTGTTCTTTCACATAAATCACTGTTTTCACAGTGTCACCAGAATAAAATAAGTGACTGTTTAGAGCAAGAGTAGTGTAACTGGTGTAACATGTAACTAATTGCGTTACTTAGTTACTTTTCATGGAAAGTAACATTTTAGCGTTACTCGTCGGGTTGGGCTTGCTTATTTGTTTGTTTGTTTCTATAACAAAAAACACAAAAGTTATATTTGTGGCAACTGTAAAGGCCCTTTCACACCAAAAGTGAAATGAATAAGCCTCAGGAGGAAGTGCCTTTGCAACTCACTCCCGATTTCTCTCATCACGGGGACAGGAGAGGCGTCAGTGAATAAATGGGAAGACAAAGTAACTTGCATTACTTTTTTGCGAAAAAAGTAACTCAGATATTTCTTTAAAAATTAAAAGTAATGCATTATTTTATTAGTTACTTGGAAAAGTAATCTGATTGCGTAACTCTCGTTACTCGTAACGCGTTACCCCCAACACGTGATCTGAGGAATCGTTCAAACGCTGCAGGACGACACACACGCTCGACGTGAACACTTTCTACACATTTAACACTTCTTCAGCTCGTCACTTACACTACGGACAGGGCTCGAATTAAAGTAATCTGATTGCGTAACTCTCGTTACTCGTAACGCGTTACCCCAACACGTGATCTGAGGAATCGTTCAAACGCTGCAGGACGACACACACGCTCGACGTGAACACTTTCTACACATTTAACACTTCTTCAGCTCGTGACTTACACTACGGACAGGGCTCGAATGGAGGGGGATGCGGGGGGATGGCATCCCCCTGGCTGAAAAAAATGACAAAAAACATCCCCCTCTGTAAAACCACCATCCCCTTTGGATTATTAATGTTGTGTATTATGTAAAACTTATCATGCACAAAATTCTCTACTTAACTCTACTTATTTCTCTACTAATTTACGAACTAAATAATCAGTGATAGGCCAATCAGAACTCGGTACTGTAACAAGCTGCGCACAAGCTGAAGCAAGTTATTGTCCTATTTCGTGCAAAATGGTTCAAGCACAACTTTTGAAGTTCTTTAAAAAAAAAAGACAACAGAAGGTATGATTTTTCCTTGATTAGAATTTGAAATCATCCCATGACATAATGTATGTTATGCTGTATGTGTGACTGTGAGGGACTGAGAGATGATAGGAGAGCTGACAATATCTGACTTTTCAAAAATACAAACATGTCTTGAGAGTCCAAAAGCATTCACAAAGCCTCTTAGAATGCCGTTAGAATGCCCTTATAACTTCAGCAATGAAACATAAAATACCCATGTATGAGTCTTTATGTTTTTATATTCTTTGCACAAGCAATATACTTTTCTGAATATCAGCACATGTGCACGAGCACAAATGTGCTATTAATGTTATACACGGTGTTTCGTTTCTTGAATGAATCTGTTTTTGAACGAATCGAGTGAGCCAGTGATTCAACGGTCCATTCATTCAGTTTCTAATTGAATCAGCGGTTTTGAACAAATCATTTGATTTGAATGATTCAATAAATCCTTTATTAAAACAGGGACTTGCTTCCATCTACGGGTGGTTTTATTGTCATCTTTATTTATGCATGGCAGGCCTAACCAGCCAAAGTGCCAGCATAAAATCACATTCAGCAAAATATACTTTAATTATCAATATTGACCAAAATTCCTTCATTTCAGGCCCCAGAAGGAAAAAAGCTGATAAATAAAAGTTAATGTAATAAGGCAATTTTTTCAATAAATTTTGTAATCATTGTGTAAAATTAGCTTCAGGACAACCCCCCCCCCCCTGAATTTGTTTTACATTTGGACCACTGACTACGGATGATCAGTGGTGATAGTGATGCCCCAGTGCAGTGCAGGACTTACTCTTGCTGCTCCTGCTGCAGACAGCGCTCGCTGCAGTGAAGCCCGTCAGACAGGAAGTCCACCACGGAGCCCTTCCTGTTACAGCGGACACACACCAGGCCTCGCTGAGCCCACGCCGTCTCCTTTGAGACTGGCCCCTCAGAGAGAGCTGAGGAAAATCAACACACATTTTGATGAAATAATCAATCGATCAATAACCAATCATCACCTGCAATATCAGACAAGCCTGTGCTCTTTTCAAATGTAAGTCTCTGGATCGATTTAAAATGCCATTATACACTAAACCTTGTTGCCTGGCACTTATAAAAGTGACTGAAGGTTTACTGAATCTTAAGATGTTCCTGCTTTCATTCCCAGATGAGCATGCAGGACATCAGAGATATCATCATCTGCTCCACGGTCAGTCAGTGTCACTACTCTTACAAAAAAGAAGTTTATACGTTCATTTTGCTAAACAAACTTAAAAGTTCAAGCATACTTTCCAATTCCCTTTATGTAGTAATTATCTTAGCATTAGCATACTAGTAGTACACATTTACATTTAGTAGATGCTTTTATCCAAAGCGAGAAATGAGGACAATGGAAGCAATCAAAATCAACAAAAGAGCAATGATATGCAAGTTCTATAACAAGTCTCAGTTAGCTTAATGCAGTACACATAGCAAGGTTTTTTTAAATTATATAATAAATAAAAAGAAAACAGATAGAATAGAAAGTAGTTGGGTACTATTTCAATATTAGTAATAAGCAAGCCCATTAAAATATAAGTGTAATTTTACATCTGCAAGTAGTGCTACTTTACATCTACATCTTTCTTTTGTATCTTGCTAATAAATCTTACAAAGAAACAGCAAGTAAAATTTTGTAAAATTTGCTTAACATTTTTTATTAACAATTTACAGATGAACTTAGAAGTATACTGTTATTTTACTTGTTATATATATTGTACTTGTTTATGAAAGACCACTTTGTGTGCTCTCACAGTAAACTACTAGTTTAATAGTTGTTATACTGCAAGTAAACTCATTTTTTTATTTTATTTTACATGCATGTAGCATCATAGTTATACACTGAAAAAAATTGTATTATTCAAGTCAAAAATATTATTTAACGTCACCGAATCAACCAAAATACATTTATTTCTAACAACAAAACTCATTTATATGGTTTACACCAGGCATAAGTAGTAGCAATAGCAGGTTTTTGTATTTTTACTTTAACTGAACATTATTTCAGGTGATTGTATTGTGACAGTATCGTAGTGAATGGCTGCATCTGTTCACTTGCACATGATCAGCTGTAATCACAGTGAAAATGAGGCTTTTCTCTTTTCATTTGACTCCATTCTGATTCACAGTCTCTGCTGTTCAATTATGTTACTGTGTAATTAAGAAAAAATGGCAGATAGAAAAATTCATTTCATTTCAGCCCACTTATTTATTTATTACCATAACAACCTAGTTGTTCGGAATTTGCTTGGTGAGCTCATCAACGTTCAACAATAATAATAACAATATACATAAATACATCTATAAATATATGTCATATCCATTACAAAGAGTGAAATGTAGATGCACAGATACCAGAGGAATTAAGAGCATGCACAATCCCACAAAAAGTGCTGTTCAGAAAACATGTAGACTTAGTTTTAATTGCTCTAAGGCGTCTGTCTGAAGGAAGAGGAATAAAGAGTTGTCTGGCTGGATGTAAGGGATCTTTCAGGATTGTTAGACCTTTTTTTCTGCAAACGTGAGACATAGATCTCATCTATAGTGGGAAGATCACAACCAATAATTTCCGAAGCAGTCTGAGTTAGAATAATATCCAACCATTTTTACCACTTTATGAGCACAATGAAGTGAAAAATCACAGAAATCTCCAGTTTATGTCTATGGGATGTTGAGTAGAACTAGCTAGAAACTGTAAGCAGAGGGAAGGGGCAGTTCTAAACCCAAACATGAGCGTATGATTGTGTTTACCCTCTTGTGCAGTGGGGACGCTCCATGTGGTGGTGGCGTGAGCTTTCTTGCCCCTCTCCTCCTCCATCTCGTCCGTTATGACCTCCAGGACCCCAAACTCATTCACCCGGAACTAAAACACACATAATGGAGACGCTTGCACACTGTCTGCAATGCTGAATGTACACAACTAACCTACACACTCCCACCAGATGACCATCATTAAAACATCATAAAGATTTAATGCAGTAAACCGGTCACGTTTAGGTTCATATTCAGCCTTGTGTTTATATATGCACTGCAAAAAGTGTTTTCTTATGTAGTATTTTTCTTGAATCAAAAAGCATTTACTTGACAAGTAAAATTACTTAAGATTTTAAGTCTTGTTTTTAAAAAAAAAAAAGGATCAAAATGTTAGTTTTTTCTTAAAATGAGCACAAATATCTGCCAATGGGGTAAGAAAAATAATCTTGTTTAGCCTTTGAATAAAGATTAATTTTCTTACCCCATTGGCAGATATTTTTGCTCATTTTAAGAAAAAACTAACAAAATGTTGACCCTTAAAATCTTAAGTCATTTTACCTGTCAAGTAAATGCATCTTGATTCAAGAATGTTTAGATATTTGTACTAGAAAATAGGGGTGGCTCGATACCACTTTTTCAGAACCGATCCCGATCCGATACCAAAAATTCTGAGTATCGGCCGATACCGATATCAATCCGATACCTGCCCAGTTATTTTTTTAATCAGTTTTGAATTTCTATACCTAAATGTGTGTTGAACTGATCGTCACTCAACTATCGTTTAATCTACTAAATATAGACAATTTCTTTCAATTTAATAACAAACTGAAAAAATATATATAATCATAATCTATGACAAAATACTATTATAAACTAGTTTAGTAGATAATTCAGTAGCAAAAGTTACTCTAGAAAAATCATGAGTGTACAATAATTTTATAAAATCTAAACTTTTAGTGCAAAAAAACATTATTTAGTGGGGAACAAATAAAAGTGAATAAGTGTTGAACTAAACTCTTTGTATGGTTCTCAAATACATTCATGAAAAAAGTTATATATTTCTATATAAATACATAGGGCCTACTATAAAATTAAAAGTCATTTCTTTAAATGTATAGCACAGTAATGAGGCAGCAACATATGATAGATAAGATTAACAAAAAAGGCTATTAATAATCTGTAACTGTGCAAAAGTATTATGATACAAAAGGCTCCAATACAGAGTGGCACAAAGCGCTTATGCACATCCCGTGCACAGAATAATGCGCTTGAAGCAACATGGAGTCACAGCAGGCACAGCACTCTGCATAGAAAAGTTCAAAGAACAAAGGAAAGAGATATTGATGCATAGTGTATTAAATCTGTGTGATAGTTTATTGAGCCTTTTCTTTTAACAGTTTTAAATCTCAGTTACTGTGCTCGTGAAGAACTATTCACAGTGCTCTCTACTCCAGTGTTGTGATCTAACACAGTAGAAATGAACATGATTTAGAAACAAAACGAAACTCCAGCAAGATAAAATCCTTTTATGCAAAACCATTTATCTTTATTTAGGATCAAGTATAATATTAGGAACATTGAATCATCTTGGAGAGTTTCATCATCTTGACTGTCGTAATTAAACGCAACACGCAGTTTGAACACTGAATGGAGGGTGACAGACAGCCGAGGCGGAGAGAAGAGTTTACGTGGACTTGACTTAAATATTCATCTGTATCTCACATTAAACTGTGGAACGGCTTCAGAACACTTGGAATATAGTGCACGGAAACATTATGGTGCTATATAATGTTTACGCAGAATATCGGATTTGGATCGGTCTCGTCTTATAGATACCTGATCCGGCAGAAAATGCCAGTATCGGAGCGATACCGATACTGAATATCGGCACACCCCTGATAGAAAACAAGACAAAAATACTAAGTAAGAAAACACGCTCAGTTACTCATGTAACCTCGGTTCCCTGAGATGAGGGAATGAATATGCACTGCAAAAAGTGTTTTCTTATGTAGTATTTTTCTTGAATCAAAAAGCATTTACTTGACAAGTAAAATTACTTAAGATTTTAAGTCTTGTTTTTAAAAAAAAAAAAGGATCAAAATGTTAGTTTTTTCTTAAAATGAGCACAAATATCTGCCAATGGGGTAAGAAAATTAATCTTTATTCAAAGGCTAAACAAGATTATTTTTCTTACCCCATTGGCAGATATTTTTGCTCATTTTAAGAAAAAACTAACAAAATGTTGACCCTTAAAATCTTAAGTCATTTTACCTGTCAAGTAAATGCATCTTGATTCAAGAATGTTTAGATATTTGTACTAGAAAATAGGGGTGGCTCGATACCACTTTTTCAGAACCGATCCCGATCCGATACCAAAAATTCTGAGTATCGGCCGATACCGATATCAATCCGATACCTGCCCAGTTATTTTTTTAATCAGTTTTGAATTTCTATACCTAAATGTGTGTTGAACTGATCGTCACTCAACTATCGTTTAATCTACTAAATATAGACAATTTCTTTCAATTTAATAACAAACTGAAAAAATATATATAATCATAATCTATGACAAAATACTATTATAAACTAGTTTAGTAGATAATTCAGTAGCAAAAGTTACTCTAGAAAAATCATGAGTGTACAATAATTTTATAAAATCTAAACTTTTAGTGCAAAAAAACATTATTTAGTGGGGAACAAATAAAAGTGAATAAGTGTTGAACTAAACTCTTTGTATGGTTCTCAAATACATTCATGAAAAAAGTTATATATTTCTATATAAATACATAGGGCCTACTATAAAATTAAAAGTCATTTCTTTAAATGTATAGCACAGTAATGAGGCAGCAACATATGATAGATAAGATTAACAAAAAAGGCTATTAATAATCTGTAACTGTGCAAAAGTATTATGATACAAAAGGCTCCAATACAGAGTGGCACAAAGCGCTTATGCACATCCCGTGCACAGAATAATGCGCTTGAAGCAACATGGAGTCACAGCAGGCACAGCACTCTGCATAGAAAAGTTCAAAGAACAAAGGAAAGAGATATTGATGCATAGTGTATTAAATCTGTGTGATAGTTTATTGAGCCTTTTCTTTTAACAGTTTTAAATCTCAGTTACTGTGCTCGTGAAGAACTATTCACAGTGCTCTCTACTCCAGTGTTGTGATCTAACACAGTAGAAATGAACATGATTTAGAAACAAAACGAAACTCCAGCAAGATAAAGTCCTTTTATGCAAAACCATTTATCTTTATTTAGGATCAAGTATAATATTAGGAACATTGAATCATCTTGGAGAGTTTCATCATCTTGACTGTCGTAATTAAACGCAACACGCAGTTTGAACACTGAATGGAGGGTGACAGACAGCCGAGGCGGAGAGAAGAGTTTACGTGGACTTGACTTAAATATTCATCTGTATCTCACATTAAACTGTGGAACGGCTTCAGAACACTTGGAATATAGTGCACGGAAACATTATGGTGCTATATAATGTTTACGCAGAATATCGGATTTGGATCGGTCTCGTCTTATAGATACCTGATCCGGCAGAAAATGCCAGTATCGGAGCGATACCGATACTGAATATCGGCACACCCCTGATAGAAAACAAGACAAAAATACTAAGTAAGAAAACACGCTCAGTTACTCATGTAACCTCGGTTCCCTGAGATGAGGGAATGAGACATTGCTTTGGGAATATCCCTTCCTCCAAATACTACTGAAGCCTTATTGAATCACGCTAGTGAAACTGGCTAATGGCATTCAAGCGTGTGAAATATGAGGGGCTCCCACTCTATATAAGACAGTGCTTGTATGGCATCCATTCAGAATCTTGACTGAAGCAACTTGGCATTCTAAGATCCTGAGCTAGGTGACACGGCAATGAGAGCAATGTCTCGTTCCCTCATCTCAGGGGACCGAGGTTACGTGAGTAACCGAGAGCTTTCCCTTTCGATTCGGTTACTTCTACATTGCTTTGGGAACATATAAAATCCCACCGTGTCATAGCGATGGATCCTGGCTCGACTAAGTATGTCAAGTTTCACGTACGCAACTGTAATGAGAGTGACAATGATATTGGCACCCTTGGTAAACACAGCCCAGTCTACAGGACCTAGTCGAAACCATGTAAACGTCACACTTTATGTCACACCAGGGGCGGAGTTAACACCGGTGAAACAGAGAATGTGAAATGGTGGCAGCTCTGGCGCCATCACATATAGATTAGTTGAAGTTTGTTTCATTTCAATTAAATAATGTGTTATGATGCAATGGCCATACCGGTGCTCAAAAAAGCAGAGTATGACGGTGATCATGTCCTAAAAGATGTGATAAACAATATCATAACAATGTGACAAGCTGATAGGGACAGCATTGATTTGGTGGTACGTCAGTACAGGGGTGTATACGACCTGGTCGAGACCACTGAGGCAAGCAGCTCAGATCATAACTGAGGCTGAGTAGGCTTGTGCGCTGCTCGCACTGACAGCACATGTGAGGTAATCGACAACACATCTAGGTTATAAAACCTTGCGAAAGTGCTGGGTGACGAACAGCCTGCCACCATGTAAATGTCCTGAATAGATATGCCATTTGCCCAGGCCCACGAGGACGCGAGTCCACGGGTTGAGTGGGCCCAAACCCCTACACGTCACTTCCTGTTTGTTGCTGCCGTGTAGTTTGAGTTTGAGCTCCGTCAAGTTAATTCTTTGTCGTCCCATTTTTTTCTTATATTGATTTTTCCGTTCTGCTGGTTCGTCTGGTCAGAGGAGAACTGGCTCCCCGACTGAGCCTGGTTTCTCCCAAGGTTTTTTCTCCATTCTGTCACCGATGGAGTTTTGGTTCCTTGCCGCTGTCGCCTCTGGCTTGCTTAGTTGGGGACACTTCATTTCCGGCGATATCGTTGACATGATTGCAAAGATATTATTTAAACTGAGCTGGATGTTGACATCACTGAATTCAATGATGAACTGTCTTTAACTGAAAAATGAGTGTTTACTATTGTCACTTTGCATTATTGACACTATTTTCCTAATTAATGCTGTTCAGTTGCTTTGACACAATCTGTATTGTTAAAAGCGCTATATAAATAAAGGTGACTTGACTTGACTTGACTATTGGACATTCCATGCCCTTAGAGCCATAAGCCAAAGCAATTGCGTCGATGATCCAGTGTGACAGCCTTTGCTTGGACACAGGCAGGCCTTTTGTGCGCCCTCCAAAGCATACAAATAGCTGCTCCGAGAGCCTGAATTCAATACATGAGTCGTCAATTGACAGTGCCTGCAGGTCACCAACTCGCTTAACAAAGGCCAGCGCGAGCAGGAGCGCTGTCTTGAGAGAGAGCGTGCGCAAGCTCGTTGATTGTATGGGCTCAAACGGGGGTCCCGTGAGAGCGTCAAGCATAAGCGCCAAATCCCAAGTAGGCAGGGTGGAAGGGCGAGGAGGGTTCAGCCTTCTTGCTCCTTTCAAAAATCGTATGATCAGGTCATTTCTGCCGATTGGGCGATTATCGACGAGCGCACATACACGCACATACACTTTCAATGTGGATGGTTTACGACCACTATCACCAGCATCTTCACCAGTTCTGGGAACCACGGCTGATTGGGCCATTTCGGTGCCACTAACAGAACAGATTCTCTGTCCTCTCTGATTTTGCAAGGCACGCGAGGCAGAAGTTTCACTGGAGGAAAGGCATACTTGCGTACTTTCAGCCAGCTGTGAGCTAGTGTATCCACTCCCAGGGGGGAGAGCACAGAAGAAGGTCTCTCACCAGCCGCAGCAGCGGCCGCGAGCTCACACCCCCCTTGGCGATTTATAAACACTACCACTGTCACGCTGTCCGTCCTGATGAGAACGTGACGGTAGAGAATGTCAAGGAGAAAGCACTTGAGCGCTTGGTGTACAGCAAGGAGCTCCAGACAGTTTATTTGCCACAACTTCTCTGTTTCTGACCATGTCCCAAAGGCTGGTCTGCAGTCACATATGGCTCCCCAGCCCCTGCTCGATGCATCTGTCGTAACAGTCTTTCTCCTTATCACTTGACCAATAGGAACACATCGGCGATATAGAGTCACTTTGATGCGCAAGGTGCCCGTGTGCCATGCGCTCTGTGGCACCCGGCCCTTTAGCCAGAGCTGGAGCGGTCGCATATGTAGGAGCCCTAGTTTGCACACTGTCGAGGCGGCATCCATCTGGCCGAGCGTCCTCTGAAAGCATTTCAGTGGGGGAGAGTGCCCCAACTTGAAGACTGCGAAAGAGCTGATCAGTATTTTTGAGCACTCCTCAGACAGACGCGCTCACATATTGATTGAATTCAGCTCCACTCCTAAAAAGGAGATGTTCTGGCTCTGTACCAGTATGCTCTTTTGCATATTCACAGTAAGCCCTAAGCTCTGAAGATGAGCGAGGAGACTGAGCTTGTCGCTGAACAGCGCTCTCTCTGATTGGGCTAAAACTAGCCAATCATCAAGGTAGTTCAGGATGTGCATTCCGCTCTGCTTCAGAGGAGAGAGAGCAGCATCCATGCACCAGGGATAAACCGAAAGGTAGGACCGTGAATTGGTACGCTACCCCCTCGAATGCAAATCTCAGGAAACGCCTGTGGCGAGGGGCTACCTGAATGTGAAAATAAGCATCCTTTAAATCCACAGAGATAAACCAATCTCTCGGTCTGATGTGGTGAGAAGATTTGTCTCAGCGCGATTCAGTGGTCTCAGGTCCAAGACTGGGCAGAGTCCACTGTCTTTCTTTGGTACCAGAAAATAACGACTGTAGAAGCCGCTCTCTCGATCTGCAAGGGGCACTGTCTCTACAGCTCGTTTTGCGAGGAGGCTGTGTATTTCCTTTCACAGAACTGAGGCATTCTGCTCCCGTACAGTGGACATTAACACACCGTTGAAACAGGGCGGCCTGCGGAAGAACTGAAGCGTGTAGTCATTCTTTATTGATTTCATAAACCACTCTGATACCCCTGGCAGTGCCTGCCACGCTTCTGTGAATTGTGACAGCGGGCGAAGCCGTGAGGAATAACTCGCCGTTGGGGGGCGGGGAGTTTAATACCACACGAGTGTGAGAGTGAGTGATGGGGAGAGAGAAGCGAGAGGAGGAAAATTGCTCTGTTATTGAGGTGTGTTTTTCGACTTTTCCACGGCATAGTGGAAAAGTCAAAACACAAACATGACAATTGCTTTCGCCACCCGCAACAGGCAGGGGGGCATGGTGAACACACACAGCGGAGCGAGCAGACTTCTTCAGTGGCTCATCTTCGGTGCTGGGTGCAGCTTTCCTCCTCCGAGAGACAGCGTCAGGAACGCGGCTTTGATTCTGGTGCTGGTGGCCTGCCATCTCTGTCAGGGCGGGGCCTCTTGCTCTTCGAGCCCTGACAGCGCTTGGGCCTCGGCTGTCTTGGCCTCACCGCCGGCTCATGTTCACGCCGAACTGCAGCAGAAGAGGTATGCGGTCTTCCCACGCGCTGCGCTGAGGAGGAGTGGGAACGCGCAGGAGGGTTTGCGCCGGCGAGCTTTGGCAGGACGTGGCTAATGGCCTTCGACTGTTTCTGCACTTGAGGGATTCACGGGTGCGTCCAGAAGGGCCGTTTTTAACTCCTTGAGTCCTTTAAATCGGTCAGAGTAAGTCACAGGTGACAATCTAGTACCACAAGATTTCCCATGTTGCGGCCGATCACTCGAGCTGTTACCTTCATCGCTCTGAGGGCCAGGGCCAGGGGAGTTGAACATACCCCACTTGCTCAGCGCCGTCCACAGAAGACAGGAGGAAGGAACCCGGGTTGTGCACTCGACTGGTGAGCGGTGCGTTCCATGACTTCGCTATCTCAGCGTGCACCTCGGGGGAAAAAGGGCCCGGGCCTCCGCGGGGTGTCCTTTTGGCCGTGGTCCGACTGGAGGTGCCTCTCATCCAGACAGCTTCTGGCTGGCTCGGCAGGAGGCGCCCACTCCAAACAGAGCTCATCAACTGCCTTGGACAGGACACGTAGAAGCTTGACATCACACCACGTCGCTGCCATTGGGCACAGTGTAATCTATCAGGCTGTTGGACCACTTCGCTCTCTTGCCACCGAAATGCATCATCCTCCTCTTCAGCGCTCTCCATGGCACCGAAGGACACCACATCTTGAGCACCGGGGAGGGGCGGAGATCAGCGGTCATGAAGCGCACTGGAAGGGGACCTGCAGCAGGGGGGTGAGGAGCGTGCGGGCTCGTCACCTAACCCTGACAGATCCACATCAGAAGCTCGCGGCACTTTCCTCCTTGGCTCGAAACAGGCTGCAGAGGAAGAGAGCGGCAGGGCTAGTTGAACTCGCCTTAGACGATGGCCACTTGGAGCCTGAGAGTCCAGAGGCACATATCTCCGCAATTGGGGGTAGTCCGACCCCCCAAGTGCCGCCTCTGCGTGCCACCCAGGCAGAAGACACACAATTCATGGCCATCAGAATATTCGATTGGCTCTGCACAGTAGTATTTGGAGGAAGGGATATTCTCAAAGCAATGCAGAAGTGACCAAATCGAAAGGGAACCATTTTTTGCAGTGTAATAAAGACCTATATGTATTTGCTAACCTTGAGCTCGCTGCCAGGCAGTGTTCCTACTCCGTCTTTCCAGTCCATCGCCCCGTACACGTCAAACTCTGGAGCGGCTGTGCTCGGGCCTGACGACTCCATCACACCCGCACACAGCTAATCTGAAAAACAACGCATAATAACCCACACAACCGCCAGATATATGAGCCTTATTCAAAATATACCACTGAAGGTCATTACAAACCACACTGAAACTCTTCTGTGCTCTTTGTACTTCATCTATACACACTTTGTGTGTTTTTACTACAGAGAAACAAAGTAAAATTCTGATTTAGTTAAGGTTTGTATGTGCATGTAAACATGCATGTAATTTCAGCATGCACAATCTGAATCAGAATCCATAACACACCAAAATTAAAAAAAAAAGAAGAATTTTGTTTTGCATACAAATTTAAGCCTTTTTTTTTAGATAATTGCATTGTAACATGTTATCTTAATGACAATTAAATCAGCATTAAATTTATTTTTCTTTAGTTTTTGGGGTAATTATGGCCCAGATATATTCTTGACTGATCAGATTCATCCATATACTAATGTAAAATCATTTAAAACACTCTATTTTTAAGTTATTTCAAATAACAAAGAACAATTAGAAAGCTTTATCTAAAAAAAATAAAGAGTTCAGATGCAAAAGCCTCTAAGTGTCATCTGAAATTTTCTTCTAAAATGAAAATTTTTCTCAGGCTCCTGTGTTTAAGTTCAGTTATTTCACTTTAATGCAATGAAAAGAACCTACTCATTACCGTTAAAGTGAAATTACTGAACCTAAACATAGGTCATTTTAGAAGAAAATTTCAGATTGTCTGGTCAGAGGAGAACTGGCCCCCCGCCTGAGCCTGGTTTCTCCCAAGGTTTTTTCTCCATTCTGTCACTGATGGAGTTTTGGTTCCTTGCCGCTGTCGCCTCTGGCTTGCTTAGTTGGGGACACTTCATTTCCGGCGATATCGTTGACATGATTGCAAAGATATTATTTAAACTGAGCTGGATGTTGACATCACTGAATTCAATGATGAACTGTCTTTAACTGAAAAATGAGTGTTTACTATTGTCACTTTGCATTATTGACACTATTTTCCTAATTAATGCTGTTCAGTTGCTTTGACACAATCTGTATTGTTAAAAGCGCTATATAAATAAAGGTGACTTGACTTGACTTGACTATTGGACATTCCATGCCCTTAGAGCCATAAGCCAAAGCAATTGCGTCGATGATCCAGTGTGACAGCCTTTGCTTGGACACAGGCAGGCCTTTTGTGCGCCCTCCAAAGCATACAAATAGCTGCTCCGAGAGCCTGAATTCAATACATGAGTCGTCAATTGACAGTGCCTGCAGGTCACCAACTCGCTTAACAAAGGCCAGCGCGAGCAGGAGCGCTGTCTTGAGAGAGAGCGTGCGCAAGCTCGTTGATTGTATGGGCTCAAACGGGGGTCCCGTGAGAGCGTCAAGCATAAGCGCCAAATCCCAAGTAGGCAGGGTGGAAGGGCGAGGAGGGTTCAGCCTTCTTGCTCCTTTCAAAAATCGTATGATCAGGTCATTTCTGCCGATTGGGCGATTATCGACGAGCGCACATACACGCACATACACTTTCAATGTGGATGGTTTACGACCACTATCACCAGCATCTTCACCAGTTCTGGGAACCACGGCTGATTGGGCCATTTCGGTGCCACTAACAGAACAGATTCTCTGTCCTCTCTGATTTTGCAAGGCACGCGAGGCAGAAGTTTCACTGGAGGAAAGGCATACTTGCGTACTTTCAGCCAGCTGTGAGCTAGTGTATCCACTCCCAGGGGGGAGAGCACAGAAGAAGGTCTCTCACCAGCCGCAGCAGCGGCCGCGAGCTCACACCCCCCTTGGCGATTTATAAACACTACCACTGTCACGCTGTCCGTCCTGATGAGAACGTGACGGTAGAGAATGTCAAGGAGAAAGCACTTGAGCGCTTGGTGTACAGCAAGGAGCTCCAGACAGTTTATTTGCCACAACTTCTCTGTTTCTGACCATGTCCCAAAGGCTGGTCTGCAGTCACATATGGCTCCCCAGCCCCTGCTCGATGCATCTGTCGTAACAGTCTTTCTCCTTATCACTTGACCAATAGGAACACATCGGCGATATAGAGTCACTTTGATGCGCAAGGTGCCCGTGTGCCATGCGCTCTGTGGCACCCGGCCCTTTAGCCAGAGCTGGAGCGGTCGCATATGTAGGAGCCCTAGTTTGCACACTGTCGAGGCGGCAGCCATCTGGCCGAGCGTCCTCTGAAAGCATTTCAGTGGGGGAGAGTGCCCCAACTTGAAGACTGCGAAAGAGCTGATCAGTATTTTTGAGCACTCCTCAGACAGACACGCTCACATATTGATTGAATTCAGCTCCACTCCTAAAAAGGAGATGTTCTGGCTCTGTACCAGTATGCTCTTTTGCATATTCACAGTAAGCCCTAAGCTCTGAAGATGAGCGAGGAGACTGAGCTTGTCGCTGAACAGCGCTCTCTCTGATTGGGCTAAAACTAGCCAATCATCAAGGTAGTTCAGGATGTGCATTCCGCTCTGCTTCAGAGGAGAGAGAGCAGCATCCATGCACCAGGGATAAACCGAAAGGTAGGACCGTGAATTGGTACGCTACCCCCTCGAATGCAAATCTCAGGAAACGCCTGTGGCGAGGGGCTACCTGAATGTGAAAATAAGCATCCTTTAAATCCACAGAGATAAACCAATCTCTCGGTCTGATGTGGTGAGAAGATTTGTCTCAGCGCGATTCAGTGGTCTCAGGTCCAAGACTGGGCAGAGTCCACTGTCTTTCTTTGGTACCAGAAAATAACGACTGTAGAAGCCGCTCTCTCGATCTGCAAGGGGCACTGTCTCTACAGCTCGTTTTGCGAGGAGGCTGTGTATTTCCTTTCACAGAACTGAGGCATTCTGCTCCCGTACAGTGGACATTAACACACCGTTGAAACAGGGCGGCCTGCGGAAGAACTGAAGCGTGTAGTCATTCTTTATTGATTTCATAAACCACTCTGATACCCCTGGCAGTGCCTGCCACGCTTCTGTGAATTGTGACAGCGGGCGAAGCCGTGAGGAATAACTCGCCGTTGGGGGGCGGGGAGTTTAATACCACACGAGTGTGAGAGTGAGTGATGGGGAGAGAGAAGCGAGAGGAGGAAAATTGCTCTGTTATTGAGGTGTGTTTTTCGACTTTTCCACGGCATAGTGGAAAAGTCAAAACACAAACATGACAATTGCTTTCGCCACCCGCAACAGGCAGGGGGGCATGGTGAACACACACAGCGGAGCGAGCAGACTTCTTCAGTGGCTCATCTTCGGTGCTGGGTGCAGCTTTCCTCCTCCGAGAGACAGCGTCAGGAACGCGGCTTTGATTCTGGTGCTGGTGGCCTGCCATCTCTGTCAGGGCGGGGCCTCTTGCTCTTCGAGCCCTGACAGCGCTTGGGCCTCGGCTGTCTTGGCCTCACCGCCGGCTCATGTTCACGCCGAACTGCAGCAGAAGAGGTATGCGGTCTTCCCACGCGCTGCGCTGAGGAGGAGTGGGAACGCGCAGGAGGGTTTGCGCCGGCGAGCTTTGGCAGGACGTGGCTAATGGCCTTCGACTGTTTCTGCACTTGAGGGATTCACGGGTGCGTCCAGAAGGGCCGTTTTTAACTCCTTGAGTCCTTTAAATCGGTCAGAGTAAGTCACAGGTGACAATCTAGTACCACAAGATTTCCCATGTTGCGGCCGATCACTCGAGCTGTTACCTTCATCGCTCTGAGGGCCAGGGCCAGGGGAGTTGAACATACCCCACTTGCTCAGCGCCGTCCACAGAAGACAGGAGGAAGGAACCCGGGTTGTGCACTCGACTGGTGAGCGGTGCGTTCCATGACTTCGCTATCTCAGCGTGCACCTCGGGGGAAAAAGGGCCCGGGCCTCCGCGGGGTGTCCTTTTGGCCGTGGTCCGACTGGAGGTGCCTCTCATCCAGACAGCTTCTGGCTGGCTCGGCAGGAGGCGCCCACTCCAAACAGAGCTCATCAACTGCCTTGGACAGGACACGTAGAAGCTTGACATCACACCACGTCGCTGCCATTGGGCACAGTGTAATCTATCAGGCTGTTGGACCACTTCGCTCTCTTGCCACCGAAATGCATCATCCTCCTCTTCAGCGCTCTCCATGGCACCGAAGGACACCACATCTTGAGCACCGGGGAGGGGCGGAGATCAGCGGTCATGAAGCGCACTGGAAGGGGACCTGCAGCAGGGGGGTGAGGAGCGTGCGGGCTCGTCACCTAACCCTGACAGATCCACATCAGAAGCTCGCGGCACTTTCCTCCTTGGCTCGAAACAGGCTGCAGAGGAAGAGAGCGGCAGGGCTAGTTGAACTCGCCTTAGACGATGGCCACTTGGAGCCTGAGAGTCCAGAGGCACATATCTCCGCAATTGGGGGTAGTCCGACCCCCCAAGTGCCGCCTCTGCGTGCCACCCAGGCAGAAGACACACAATTCATGGCCATCAGAATATTCGATTGGCTCTGCACAGTAGTATTTGGAGGAAGGGATATTCTCAAAGCAATGCAGAAGTGACCAAATCGAAAGGGAACCATTTTTTGCAGTGTAATAAAGACCTATATGTATTTGCTAACCTTGAGCTCGCTGCCAGGCAGTGTTCCTACTCCGTCTTTCCAGTCCATCGCCCCGTACACGTCAAACTCTGGAGCGGCTGTGCTCGGGCCTGACGACTCCATCACACCCGCACACAGCTAATCTGAAAAACAACGCATAATAACCCACACAACCGCCAGATATATGAGCCTTATTCAAAATATACCACTGAAGGTCATTACAAACCACACTGAAACTCTTCTGTGCTCTTTGTACTTCATCTATACACACTTTGTGTGTTTTTACTACAGAGAAACAAAGTAAAATTCTGATTTAGTTAAGGTTTGTATGTGCATGTAAACATGCATGTAATTTCAGCATGCACAATCTGAATCAGAATCCATAACACACCAAAATTTAAAAAAAAAGAAGAATTTTGTTTTGCATACAAATTTAAGCCTTTTTTTTTAGATAATTGCATTGTAACATGTTATCTTAATGACAATTAAATCAGCATTAAATTTATTTTTCTTTAGTTTTTGGGGTAATTATGGCCCAGATATATTCTTGACTGATCAGATTCATCCATATACTAATGTAAAATCATTTAAAACACTCTATTTTTAAGTTATTTCAAATAACAAAGAACAATTAGAAAGCTTTATCTAAAAAAAATAAAGAGTTCAGATGCAAAAGCCTCTAAGTGTC